TTTTTCTTTTTCTTTTTCTTTTTTTTTTTTTTTTTTTTTTTTTTTTTTTTTTTTGTTCAATTTTGCTCCCCCGTCAAGTTCCAAATATCAAACACTTTTTTATTTTTTTTCAAAGTGTAGGATTGTCCGTCTTGCTTGGGAACAATTAGGGGTATCTCCAATATTTCCAACATTGATTAGCGCTAAAGTTGGGTAATTCTCAAACATCGCGCTACTCTATAGCATGATCGATCCGATTTTCGAAACATCGGATAGGTCTCTTAGCATGCGGTGCGATGTTACGAACATCGGACCTCATAAATGGTGGTTTGATATTGATAACATTGGACCATCAATAATTTGAACTTCTATAATGACAAAAACCCTGCTGATAGTCGGACATTAGCAATATTGGACCTTCATTTTACTGTTCTCGAATTGTATGCTAAGAGACTTGTATGATGTTTTGGATGACCCCAAAACAAAAGTTCTATAAGGTGGTATAACACTTCGGACAACAAACTACCGAACTTTAGGGCAGTTCAATATTGGAAATATCAAACATATCGAAACATCATACATATACCCCAACTTGTCCCGCTGCTAGATGGACAATCCCTCATTTTAGAAAAATAAATAAAAACAAAATAGAAAAAGTTGTCTGATGTTCAGATCATCTGACTAAAGGGAAAAATTGAAAAAAAAATAAAAATGTTATAAAAGGTGGACTTCACTTAATAACCCTACTTAAAGATGGTAGAGACATAATTGTTTTGAAAGTGATTATAAAATATTTTTGTAAAAAGTTTAACCATAGATAAAAAATAGGGTGTGGTTTCTATAAGTTTGTAACCTTAAACAATCAAATTAAGACGCACCTTAAAATTTTATTGTAACATGTAATTTTGTTGTAAAAAATACTTATTATTATCTTAAAATTTATTTTCATATCTAATTAGAAAATTTTAAATTTAAAAAAATGGTTAAAATCAAGTAGATCTATAAATATATGAAAATCTTGAAAATGGACGGTCTAGATAATATATTGCAAGATACACTATTTTTGGGACTCAACATCTCGATGTCGAGATGATCGATTAGAAGGTTTTTTCAACATTAAAACAACATTTCTGATAGATTTTTTAGATGCATCTATGATTCTACATTTTAAGGTTGCAACCTTATATAAACTTTTGCTTAAAAAATATAGTTGTACACTATAGGAAAGTTTATCATGATCATTTCCAACCATCATTGGATGTAAAATTTGATAGATTAAAACGTCACAATATTGAAGAAATTTTATTTTGGGCTTTTTGCCCCGTCAATGACATCCCCAACTGTCTGCTTTTACAGTAAATGGCCTTAATTATATGTATATGTCCATATTTCAGGTCATATTGCATTGAGGTTTTAAATTTTCGACTTTTTTTCAACAATTTTATTCTTGCTTGGAAAGTATTACCTCCCAACCGACCTAGTTTTCAAAGTTTTTTAATTTTGTTAGTAAGGGTGGTAAGGAACTACCCAATACTTAGGGCGGCTTGGAAGTACCAATCTAGACGAAACGTCAATAAAAGTTACCACCTTTGAACCGCTCTAGAAATAAAAATTTATCCAACCACGGTGTGGTTCGAAGGTTTTGTTTACAATCGGCTCCACACATGTTAAAACTCGGAAAAATGGAAAAATTATAGATATCTCAAAATGAAATTTGTAAACATTTTTTCTCCCAATATTTTTAGTATCACATCCACCTCGGCCCTCTTTCTCAATGAAATTTGATGACTCAGCAGCGGCAGGCTCGTCATCTTCGCTTGCCCTCTCCTCCCCTTCAACCTCACCTCGGCCCTCTTTCTCTATGGGCTTTGGTCAAGATCAAGCAATGCCGATACAATTTCTTCAAATTCGAAAAGGCAAGTATATGAACCCCATTTGGAAGCCAATGAAATGTTGTGGCTCGCTAGAGCACGGCGGCAACGGTATTGCGGGGGTGAAACATCAGAAGTCAGTGGATCGTCTGCAAGAGGAAAGACGAGGGCTGAGAAGGATAAGCAGGCAAAATATATAGCGAGAGAGAGAGCGTTGGTAGACAGAGAGAGAAAGAGAGATAGAGAGAGGGCGATCAGAGAGTAAGAGAGGGCGGATAGAGAGAGGGAGTAGAGAGTCAGGTAGAGACAGTGCACAACATTTAAACTGTTGAAAGGAAAAGTGGGAGCATTTATAGGAATAAAAAGAGGAAGAGCACATATAAAACACTTACACACGGTACATAGGGTGTGCTCCCATTTTCACCTTGCTGTGTGCATTAGAGTGGTTGCAGCTACACTACTAGAAAACTACTTTTCTTGTTAAAATCGGTTCTGGTCAGAATTGGCCGGTTTCTGATAGCATAAGCCGATTCTATGAATGAGCCGGTCAGTTCAGGCAATACCCGGACAGTTCCTGATATAGGACAAGAACGTCCACAATTCTCGATCCAGATTAGACGATTTCAATCCCAAATAATACTCGATCCAAATTGAGCGATTTCAAGCAGAATTTTCAAACCTTGCAAAATTCCACATTGTCAACCTTCCTGTGCATTACATGCCTCTGCTACAAATGCCATGTGCAGTCACAAAACCGAGTGGAAGGGCTTATGAGGAGTTTATTGTGGGAAAAAAAGCAGATTTCACTTTGTTTAATGGCATAGAGTGTGCATGTAAAAGAGGAAGGGGAATTGGGTGTTAGAAAGCGCAAGCAATTTGTTTATCAAATGGTGTGGCGATGGGCTATTGCTTTGGAAAGAAGTGGTCAGCAAGAAATATGGAGCGGATGATATGGGTTGCCTTATTGAGGTATTATCGGGAAATCAGAATACCTCTGCACTTTGGAAAGCAATTGACGAAGTCTTCAGTCTTAGTTAGGGATGGGTCCCTAACAAAATGTCCATCAGACGAATGGCCAGTCTCTCGACCATTATGCATGGCGCTCCCTGAACCCATGTCAACTCCTCCAACCAAGAGCTACTGTGACTGAACTCGAGCCAGGTACGGGCTTCAATACCATATGGTTCAGTGGTCTGACTAAGCTGATAACCAAGCTTTCTGGATTCTAATATTAGCTCAAATAGAGAGAATTTTATTAGGAGGTGTGAGTTGATTCAAGTAGAAAATTAAAAAAAAGACGAGGATAACTCAAAAGAACATATATGGAACTAATAAGAGAAGATATTGGGATTTAAGGTATAGCCTTTGATAGAATGATTGTTGATAGAGTCGAATAGTAGACCACGATTCATATAACCAACCTCAAATAGCTGGAAAAATGCTTTGATGATGATAATAAACGGGGATTCTACAATACAGAAGCCTAAGCCAAGTGGTAAATTTTCCATTAAGTCCACAATGATCCAGCCTGACAAATCGTAGTCGCATCCACTCCCCTCAAAACACAAGCTTTCGCTCGGCTTGCAATCCTCAATAGGCTAACACAGATTTATCACCACCAAATACCTCCCATGCAAAGAAATATGGGCATGGGTGAGCTATTTGTTATCCATTGGTCGTCCTTTTTGAAATAAGGGCCACGATCTTAGACCTTTTCGGCCAGCTTAGGGTCCACGATTTTACCTCAAATAGTTTACCCCATCCCCTCCAAAGTTGCAACTTAAAATGTGGCAAACGGTGATAATATCTGCATGAGCAATGATCCAATGCAACAATTGTATCATAGCATAATGCAACGACATTTTTAGAAAACTATAATGTGGTATTTGTATAACCTCAAATTTTGCTCACACACTCTCTTTATCTCAATAATCAATCCTCTCAAAAAAAAAAATTCAATTTGATCCATAGATATGATCAAAATGAGTCCCCTCCAACAACGAATCTAAACCATTCATTTTGTGAATTTCAACATCTTAGCCTTTATAAACTTAAAATTGTTTATTTCTTTTTTTAACATTGTTTATCTAATGATAATAAAGCCATCCAAAAAAATTTGAAATGAAAAAATCCTTTTAAGTCATAGATCTAAACATCTCACCAAAATGATCAGTCTATGTTAATTGGGCTAAAAAATATTTTCTAGATTGTATTTTCATTTTTTCTTTTTTTTGTGATTCTTCATTAGAATGAAAATAGTGTATATTTCAAACTTTGGATCAAACAAATGGCAATAAGATAGTTTTTTAAAGTTGTTGCCTCATATTATTATACAACGGTTGCATGAAATCATTGCCTCTGCAAGACCAATGATTCAGTTCAATATGGCTCATTTGGCTGGAAATAAATAGTCAAGAATTATCCTGCAAAATTTTGGGATTGCAAATGCTTCTGACCAAGGTTAAAGGTCACCATCAACTCCTGAACCAGATCTTGTAAGGAATCCAAGGACTCTACTTTTGCTGATTTTCAAGCCCATTTTTGGGAGATTACAAGGGCCACTATTCCTATAAATCGGCAAACAACCAATGGCTCCCCCCATGGGAGGATGCCCTCAAACTTAACTTTGATAGTAGTTCGGCAAGAAATCCAAACCCAACTTGCACTAGTGGGATCCTAAAGGACCACAATGAATGGACTTCTAAAGAGACAGAAACAAGGTCACTGCCCCATCATGGATTTTTTTCCAAGTCAGGTACCGATTGAAGAGACTCGAATAATACCATCTGGTGGACCAAAGACATTGAAGAACGTCTGACACCTTCGAGAAATCTTTGATTAAATCAGAGATCTAACTCCCCTCCTGCAAGTTGAACCGTACCACTGCCACTGACAAACTACCTTAAAGAGGTAGATACATTGGCTAAGGAGGAAACATACAAATCATGCTCTGTAATTTGGCTTCAAGTTTGTAGAGTTTGAGCTCAGTTTGAAAATATGATACATTCAATTTTGAAAAGGAACTGAGAGAAAGATTGTTACGTTTTTAGTTCCTAGGAGGAGATTACCAGACCAGCCTTCAGACATAGTTCAGTAACTCACTTATTCACATTCTATAAGACGAAAATTGGAACAGAGAGCTGTCGCCACCATTTGCAATTTTAACATTTCTGTTGCATTTTAAGTTATATTTATATACAAATCAGGAGAGATTTAAAATTCTCCTGATAAAAGAACCATGATTTCAGCCAGTACAGTACAGTAAAGGCCTGCTACAAAAGGAGACTGAATTTTGGGGAATGCCAAGAGTAGATTCGGATCAGCAGGGCTTACAAGGTGAGCCATTTGGTGCCACGTCCACAACACTGTTTATTTCTCCAGCAGCACAAGAACTTCCAAGGAAAGTTAACAATGCCTCATTATGGTGCTTCTTTTATCAAATAGCAGGGAGCTGCATATATATACCTCCCGTGAGAACTCACAAGCCAGCAAGCTCTACATCCCAACTCAGTGCAATACATACAAAGATGCCTCTCTCTCTCTCTCTCTCTCTCTCTCTGAGCTGTAGAATATCATACGCCAGAGAGCACATATGCACACCAACATTTACAGCTGCCCTGCTCTTGCTTCTTGTTACCCCGAATGCCATATAAACAGCTATTACAGAACCTTGCCCTCCACTTGATGATCCTTTGCATCAACCGATGCCCAACTTGGGCGTGCGTTCCGCTACTGTAAAGCCATCTTAGGAATGAGCATTCCCCCAGTTTCTGTTTGTTTAGCTAAGCAATACTTTCTCCCACTGTTCTTTTTATCTCGGTGAAGACAAACCGTGAGGCAATTTCTGGTCCTCTGCCTGTGCAAGAAGATTGGGATCATTGGAGAGAAGGAACTCAGAAGCCTCCAAATCTGGAGCTAGGGGAATCTCCACACTCTTTTTCAGCCTCTTGGGTGTCTTCCAATTCTGTTGCAATGGATCCTCGTCAAAATTGATTGGCCCAAATTCATCTTCTGCCATCGAGAAATCCGAGTTCTTGGTATTTCTCTGTTGATTACGCTGCTTTGGTGGTGTTTGCTTGTTTGCATTTGATTTTTTCTGAAAAGAATACTTATCATCAATGAATTTACAGTGAACTATCAACAAATTGTAATCTCTTGGGTTTATACTTTATATTAATAAATTATACTATCAACACTTCAAAAAACAAATTAAAAATCACAGCGAACTATTATACAAAAATTGGCCTAAGAAAACCTAGGGGTACTTTTCTTTTGTTCTCTTATAGTTTAGATATTTAGCTAGTGCAATTACTTCAGAACTGCATGCACTGGAATGATATGCATATACAAAGTGTAAATGGTGTATGTTGTCAACTGTGGAAAATCATACAGACAAGTTGGTCCATTGCAGTAGCAAACAACTTCTAATTATATTTGGAAGTTTAAGGCAATTGAACCATTATGGCACATCCGTAAGGAAATGGAGTGACCAATTTATGCAAAACACTTGAATGGGAAAATGGTGCTCTGCAGCAAATAAATATTTCCATCAGATGAGCAACTCTTTTTGAACTGGAACAAACACCCTGTCCATATAAATAAGCATTCTTGAACATTAGCCACATACCTTTTTATTTGTAGCCTTCCCATTTTCTAGCTCTGTTGCTGGATCAGCCTCCATCTGTGACTCGAAATTGGCATAATCTTCCCAAGAGGCATCTCCCTCATCATTTAGCCGCAATCCCTTTGTTCCTTGTTTCTTCTTTTGTCGATCAGTCCCCTATTTAGTGACGAAAAACAAAAGATCAAATCATATGGTATGGATGTCAACATGGTGAAATAGACCACCAACAACTAAACCAGTAACTCCAGCTCAGCTACCCATAAAACCAAATCACTTGTAACAGTAACTGTTGATGCAACTTAGACAGATTTCCTACATGGTATATATTTGGTTTGAGTTCCAAACCTCATGAGGAAAAAATGAGAACTATCATCCGAAAAAGAACAGAACCTAAAACCAAGGAGAGAGAGAGAGAGAGAGATAGCGAGAGCTTATAGAGATCTGACAACTCTAGAGCTTGACTACAGTGCAAGAGTATACCTGCACTGGAACTTCTTTCAATTTCTGCTCCAGCTGGGCATCATCGAGAAGCAAAGAGACAACATCCTCTGGTGCCAAAAGGTCCCCTTGAACATGGCCGCCAGTCATTACAAGTTGTTGCACCGTATTTTTCTGACTCGCTCTTAGCAAAATTTTCTCTTCAACTGTCTCTTTACAAATCAATCGATACACAGTTACCTGAACAGATGAAACAAAAGTGAAATGTTATCCTCTGATGGCTAGAACAGAAAACCTGATCAATATAACTTGAGAAGTAAGGACATAATCCAAAATCGACTCTGAACTTCAAAGAATAACACAACTCAAAATTTTGCATTAATTATGCAAAAAACATGCATAATCATGATAACTATGTCCCCTATTCTGTTGGGCTGGGAGATTAACTGAACATGCTGAAAGAATACGGTTCAGTTGGGGGTAAGTAAACAAAACACATTGACATTGGGATATAACAGAAGACTGCATAGTAGGCCTAGTTCAGATATGGATTCTTTCGTGGAAACTGGCGATGACTATGGAATTTAAGTTGCTCCCATTCTAATGACTTTGGCTTAGTATTACAAACGATTGCCAGGATAAACCCAAACAAAAGAAGACAGAGAAGTTATAAAGTAAACAATGATACAAGGAAAAGAAGATTGAAACAAAAGGAACAAATTTTCCCCAGTAAAAGAAAAATAAAACATATAAATCAGAACTATTTTTTTTTTGGGTAATTCAGTGGGGAAGACAGGCCCCTACCCGTTTTTCAAGTAGATTAGGAGTTAGCTCTAGTGAAGGTATTAGTGGGGTGGTATTAGTGGTGGGAATGGAAACCACAACGTGGTAACTAAGGTGTGGGGTGCTACCACCATGACCTTAGCCCCTTTCCCGGATCTAAATAATTGCAACTGACTAAACTACAGTTCCACCAACCTCCTTTGTCTGACCCAAACGATGCGCCCTATCCATGGCCTGCAAATCCAGGGTTGGATTCCAATCACTTTCATAGAATATAACAGTATCTGCAGCTGTCAAGTTAATTCCCAGCCCTCCAGCTCTAGTGCTCAGCAAGAATACAAATATATCGCTCCTACATAGAGAAAAGTCAGTCAGAGGTAACCTAATGGTTTTGATGGCATTGAAGGTGAACTGAGTCATTCTTTCAATCCTTTTTTCTTCTATTAAATATGCTTTATAATCAATATCACAAATCTTGATACCTCGTCTGGAAGTCCCTAACCATGTCACGACGATCCATTATGGTTGAAGAACCATCAAGGCGAAGATATCGGTACTTCCTATAGTTCATGTAGTCCTGTATGTTACAATCCGTCAGTACAGGGACCAAGGATAATGAACAGAACTAAGAACAGCAAACAGATAAACAAATCTAACTATTCCATAAGCATGCAAGACAAATATCCATATATGGAACCCACTGACAATTTCCCCTCCAACTCTATAGAGCAATTGTATGACATGCTTTTTGAACCTATTGTATAACATATTGGACCTATCGATATGCATAACATATTGATAGATCATCATCATCCAAGCCTTATCTATGACATACAGATATAATAAATGATAGTAATTTTGCATATATGCACAAGGAACAATGGCAGATAAACAACAAAATGATAAATTACCTCAAGGATATTCAGCATTTTAGTCATTTGAGCAAATAAAAGTACACGATGATTTTCAGCCCGCAACCTCTTCAGCAATATATCCAGCGTCTGAAGTTTCCCAGAGTCCTTTATAAAAGTTCAAAATCAAATGAGCCCTATAGGAGAAAATAATGATCCCAAAGCCATATTGACCTCCTTACAAGCCCATGTATAAGTCACTACTATGCAATGCCAATGAAGAGCAATATACATCAATTAAAGATTAGCTGTCTTAACTATGGATACCTACAAGAGCAAAGTTATCATCCACAACTGATAAGAGGAGAAATGACGAACAACTTACAGTAAGCGTCTTTGCAGGGTCGAAGTTTCGTATTGGTGGAGTAGACCCAAAAATCTTGTAAGTCAGTTGAAGAATAGGCTCGACAGCTGGTAACTGCATGTCTATTTCTTGTATCAAAGGGTGAGGGAGATTGGGTCTTCTAGGACCGTTGGAGTCAGACGTGCGGGCAAAACCAAGAATCAGCCTTTTAACCCAAGGATGGTGCAGTTCTTCGAGCAACTTATAAACAAACCATCGATCAGAACAGTGCACATTAATCTGCAAAGGAATAATAAAATAGACCCTTAGGAAATTCTGGCTTCGGTAGCACTCAGCATAATTTCACCTCAAATTGACAGTAAAATTGAGAAAATGATGACTAGATCACATTTCAAAACATCCACTCAAAGGAACTCAAAATCATCTGTATTGTGCACAAATTGTGTAACGAAATATACAGCATTCTTAAGAAATTAACAGATAACTCAAACTGCATCACCTGCACTGTTCTAGCACCTTACCGGCAATATGGTGAAATTTCTAGGTGTGGTTGAATCAAATGATATGCCATATTTTTATTTGAATCTGTCACTACTTCCAGTGATAAAAATTTCTCAGAAAGGACAGAAGCTAATTGTGAAGTACATTGTCTAGCCAAAGAAGCGGGGGCTCTGAGACTTAATGGAAGTTTCTGTCTTCCTTACCTGAAACACGCAGAGTGGTCCTAAGCATTCTTTTTTTCTTATATACATAGTTTGAGGTTTCTCCCTTTTATTCAGGAAATATCATTTATGTCTATCTATCTATCTGCACACTCGAGTGCCACTAGATCTTTAACTTTATGGGAATGATACATCTACTTTAGATGTATCTGTGAACCAATGCTATCCGGTAAAAAGTCAAGAAAATCTATGAAACGAATCTGCAAATTCAAAGCCTTCCCAATCAAAGATTAGTGTGCCACAAAAAGAAACCAAATACAAACTTACTGGTGGAGCTCGAGTTGGTGGGATAAAAGTATATGTTGAATGAAGAAGCTTGATGTTGGAGAGAAGCCTGTCCTGGTGGGACATGACTAATCCCTCATATGGTTCTTGATCAGGGCCAGTAGCTAGTTTTCGTCTGAGTAAACTAGACTCTGAATGCGTCGGGATAAGTAGCATCCGTGCCACAGCTCTCACCTTTCCTCTTTCCAGGTTAGAATTTTGTTGAAGATCGCCACCCTCAACTTCCAAAAATAGCTCCAAAATCTCATTCAAAAACTTTCTATCCCATCTCATAATAGAAAACAGCAGCTTCTCTAAACTAGAAACCTTAGCCAAGAAAGAAACCTCTCCTGGTGACAAATCAATTAAACGAGTGAAGCCAAAACTACCACTGGTTGTGGGATGGCTGGAGTCTTCTGAGCACCCCCTTTGCAATAGCAATGACCTATGTACATTATCTGGAGAAAACATATTAAACAACTTCTCAAATGTTTCTGGTTCGATACTGGAACTTGTTGCCGAACAAGGGACTTCAGCATGTTGCACAAGCTCCTGATGGACCATTTTTGGTATCTGAAAAATGTGCAAAAACAACCAGGAATCAATAAATAAAACTGTATGAGCGTGTAACAAATAGAAAGTAGAGTGATGAAACCCAAAAAGGAGAAGCAAAAAAAAAGTGGGCAATAGATGTGCCTTGTAAGTTATAGGATTCCGACTCCCAGCATAGTATACGTCTTCTGGTTCCCCAAATGGTGGTGGTAGAAGAGAATTTGAAATCTCTCCAAAGTACAGATAAGTGCTTCCTTCGTTGCGCTCAAATAACTCAGGGTGGTTGCAAACCTAACACAATTTCAAAGCAAATCCCAGTACAAATTCAGAACGTGATAGATTGGATGCTCAAGAGAAGTTTCAACCAACTGAAATATCCTACATCCGGTCAAATAGTGAACTGGTTTATGTTCAGTCACATGAATGATGTCCATTCAGAAAACATACAGGGGAATAATTAAAACCATACCTTCCTCAACTGGATGACAATGTTCATAAGGTTTAAAATTTTCTTCTCATTGAGATGGCCACGTGTGCTATCAATCAACTCAGCAAGAGAAATCTTGTTCTTTATGGCTTGATAAAATGCCTGCTGTCGAGAACTCAATTTGCAGTACACAGTAACTTCCTTTTTACTGGTCATTTCAGTAATGACATCCTTTTTGACCCGCCGCAACATAAAAGGCTTTAATATTGCATGCTGTTATGATATACACATGGAATTAAAGTTTTGTCAAGAATTCCACAGAAGAAATTTTAAAAACTCATATCATAAATAAAAGCAAAAAGATAATTTCAACATCTTATGAATTGACTGATGATTCCATCGGAAGACACTGGTACACTATAAGCTAGTTGAAGACCCTTTTAATGAATATTACTACTAATCAGATTCCCTGAATTGTAATTCTTACCAATCTGTTCAGCTGATGTTCGTTTAGAGTACCTCCATGCTCAGCGTGATTCTCAATGCTGTCAATACACATGCAACAAAAGTCAATGCAGAAGAAACAAAAATTAAAAGCAGCAATGGGCACAACTCTCAAGGCCGTACTGGCAATAAAAGGCAAGGATACAAAATTGAAGCCATACCCTTTTGAAAACCATTCATTGAATTGCTCGTGGCTGTCAAATAAACTTGGCATTATAAAATGCAGAAGAGCCCATAGCTCGGCCATGTTGTTTTGGATAGGTGTTCCAGTTAGCAGCAAGCGGTTTCTACAGTTAAAACTTAGCAATGTCTTCCACCGTATACTGCATTGGGAAAGCAAAAGTTAATGAGGAAAGAAATTTATCACGAGCATACAATTGTAACAAAGGATAACAAGAAATAAATTGTAGAGATAACATTTGCACCTAACATGCTTAAATATGATGTTGAAATTTATGAGCTCAAGACAACTTAGAATGCCATAGATAGAAAAAATAAACATTGGATGGGTAAATCATTGGATGAATGATTTGTCTGACGTACATGACTTGCTACATCATATTTAAATAAACATGAGTAATGAGCAGATAATTCCCATAAACTGAACTACATAATGATCACACAGCCCAGTCGGTTACACCAATACACATTTAGCACCACATAGACGAAGTTAAAACAACCAATTACTGGTTTAGAAATAGCAAGTAGAATTCATTCAAAGGATGTCAAACAGACGAGAAGTTTTATCCTGGAGCTGTCCATGTTTATTCACAAGTTAGCCATCCTAACCACCCAGCTTACTTATATAAACAAAATTTGGATCATGAGAGTTAAATAAGATGTCCTCCCTCTATCACTGAACAGATTCCAGCCAGTCTCCATGGAACTGGAGAGTCTTTTTGAGCCATGTAATCATGTCAAGAGAAATGCCTCTAGGATTTTCTTTTTCTTGAGGAAAAATTTGTCATTAGCAATTGTTGGAGCATTAAATTGCTAGGTCAGAAATCAATTATGTAGATGTAGTGAGTAAATTACTTCCAAAAAATTAAATTTACTAGGTCAGAGGCCAAAGAAAGGATGTTTTGAGTTCATGCAAGGAAGACTGCTAGACATGCCCTAGCAGAGGATGGAGCATTGGGGCTAATGGATACAGGGACGTTTTATAAGAAAGACCAAACCACTTTGTTCATAGGCTAGGCAAATAACTTTGTACAATTAAATTTACTAGGTCCGAAGCCAAAGCAAGGATGTTTTTGAGTTCATGCAAGGAAGATTATTAGACATGTCCTAGCAAAGCATGGAAGCATTGGGGCTAATGGATACAGGGACGTTTTATAAGAAAGTCCAAACTGCTTTGCTCATAGACTAGGCAAATAGCTGTGTATCTGATAAAGGAACCAAGGGGCTAGAGGAAAATGAAGCTAAATTAGAAAATATGATGGAGGAGATGAATGAGTGTTTTGTAGAGAATACAAATAGCCTGGGTGGAAAGCTGAAAAATAGAGATGAGACAGCTCACAAAAGTGGAAGGTCTGGGACTCATCAGTAACATAAGGGAGTCGACTGGCCAAATTCAAAGAGATAAGAGGTAAAATTAGAATCTGAACGAAATCTTGTTTCCAAAGCACCAACTAACAAACCATCCCACGGATTGGAATTGTTCGCATTGGGTATGTTAAGCATTAGAACCTTTTCTTAAAACGACCATGAGGGATGCTGAACTCAGGCTTGTCTTGATCTAAGTTGGACAAAAATAGGAGGATAGAACAGTGTGGTCTCTTGAGCATTTGACTGGATGTCTGGTGGCATATTGTTTTTCATGGTATGAAAATATCCATATGAGTCCCAATCAGAAAGGGCCAGTCTGAAGAACCTCCCCAAGGAATGTTCTTATGAATCCCTATAAAATATAGAACATGGAGATTGCTTTCTGCAATATAGTATGACCACGGACATTGTGAGCTTTTTCTGTATGTATATAATACTATTAAAGGATCTCCAAAAGCGCTATGGGGCATGGCTATTGACTTGTCCAATTGATCTGTGTGTAATGGTTGATATACAGTATGTTACTTAGAAGAAAAAAGATATTCAGTTTAGACCACCTTTAAATTTTTCCTTCTTACCTATACCAATAAAATGTTTTGCTAAATTCCACAAAATGAGAGTCTCCTTAGGGAAGAGATATTTTTCCTAAACACTCTCCAACTTCTTTGTTGTGGGCAAATAACCAATATCATGCTTCTTTTGCAAGCCATCCTCTTGAAGCCCCACAAAAAAGCAATTATAACTGGGTTTAGCATCTTCCATACAATTGGTTAACCATCTCTATTTAAAAGTTTCCTTTGACAGTCCAATTCTTACCTTCTACAGCCACTATTTAACCAAGGAAAAGCACTAGGGACTATAGTTACCGGGATCTCCCAAGAAGGTCGACACTCCAGCACTGTAAGCTCTATTCTGTGCTCCGGGAGAAGGGATCTTGATTTCAGGTATTTTTTTTAAATTTCTGGATCTCGATTCCCAAAATTGGGGATCTCGATCCCTGTTAATGAGATCCAAAGCCCTCTCATCCAAATCATGGGTCCATGAGTAAGTGAAATCAAGCATCCACCAACGTGGAACCGAGTTTCTTTTACATTAGCATCGATATTCACCAGCACATTTCGAGGCTCCTGCACTGACCAACCCCCTCTTCCCCCACCCATCCTCTCTCCATTCCCTAGCCCATAATCTCTTCTCTCTCTCTCTCCCCCCTCCCTCCTCTCTCTTCTCTCTCTCTCTCTCTCTGTACGTAGTGTATTTCTATAAAAGTTCTGAAATCTGAATTTTCATTCAATATAAAGATCAACCAGTTGAGAAAGAATCCCAATGCCCACAATGGCAGCCAAGGTTTGAAGCTTGGAGTTTTAACTGACAGTCATAAAAATCAACATCATAACATATAAGGTGCTGCGATATTACATTATGGCGAGTACCTAAATTTCTGCCATGTTGTATCCTAAATTATTTTCATCTCACTTGCTGGAAGCTCTATAAGCTTTATAATTTAATATAAATGATCTTTGCCTCCAATGGCCTCTCATTGACCATATCAACCATTACAGAGACCTTTTCAGGGTTGATGCTTCTTTGCCTCTAGACCCTTTTCTTTTCCTCTGAATGTAGAGAGCATTTCTCCAGTTGCATACCCAATCACATGTAAGTGAATGGACCCAACTGAAGGAAAATTAGAACACCGCATTTCCATCAAACACTAGAGCCTCTTTCATGCCTGAGGGTTGAAATTTGAATCATCATTTTGGGTTTTCAGTTTCACTTCTCGCTTATGAACACATTCCAATATTAACAAAAAAATAAAAAGTATTTTAAGAACAGGATTCTTTGCATTTAATGATACTTTGATTTTTGAATTTCAAAAAAAATTAATCATACCGTTTATCGGACTTCATTCCCAAGCTAGAGAACCCTACTTGGGTAGCCGATTCTAAGTTGGACGGACCTCGATCCCACATACTTTATCATTCAATTCTCAACAAATTTGGCTCGTGCTTCCTTCATATTAGGATCACAATCCCTTTAACTCATGGCGTAAATATCTCGATTCCTGTCCCATGGATCACCGTACATCTATGGATCCCGCATTCCCAATCCCAATCCGGGAACTGACCTTGCTCCTGATCCTGATAACCATGCTCGGGACCCTAATGCTCAACAGCTTCCCTTTGAAGCCCCAAGCCAAACCACACCCTAATGCCTCAAAAGCCAAATTGAGGTTCCCGCCACTATCCCAAAATTCATAGGGGTGAAAACTAATACTCATAAGGAAACCAATGAAATAGAAGATGGAGTATCTTGTTCTATCAGTAAATGCCCTATGGACCGAGATGCTCCACTTGCATAACTGCCAAACCTCCAGAACTCTTAGTAGAATTACCAGGAGATAAAAAAAACCAATAGAAGACGAGCAACAAAGATAGCATCTAGCTGGATTAGAGTAACCTAAAGGCAAGGTACACATAAGTTGATAGAGTGCAGCTGTTAAGATCCTCAGGAACCATAACAATTATAAGCTCGATAGCTTGTGCATCTCTTAACATCCTAGGAACTGAAAGGAGTGGATATGTGGAACTCAAGTTATTAAATTTTAAAATATTTATTTTTCTTTTATGCAATATTCCTGAATTTCACTTAAATGGGACACTATATACTACTGTAAATCAAAATTAATGCCCTAGACACAACCTAGGATCTTTACTTTTACTACTAAAGCAAATAAAAACCATCCGAGAGCAGTCAGCAATCTTCCACTTATCCACAATGACTTTTAAGTACAAAATATGTTCCTGAAAATTTACAGAAAAATATGAAAGATGGCTCAAAATTAATTTAGTCAGCTGGGAATCTTACTAGAAGATGTATGGAGTCACCATCACCAGTCTTGATACACCCCACACCTGATTCCTTGACCTATGGTTCACTTTTAGTCCTTTAGGTCTTGCTAGAATTTATGATATAGGGAAGATTTACAGGCAATACCTTTCATTCTAGGGTCTTAGAGAGCATGGAAACCTAACCGGAGTTTGTAGGAACCCTTAAGAACAAATTAGGGCTGAGTTGAAGGCATAGAATCCTCTTATGGCTCGGCATACTTCTCCAAACAACAAAACCCTAATTAGGCTTTCAATGCGGCACCTTGTCTTATCAAAGTTTGGGTTGCATGACCATATTTAGATGGGAGGAGAGAGAAAATTGAATTTTAATGATGAGAGATTTGGTGCATGGAGGAGAGAGAAATATCCTTTTTTTTTTGAGAGAGAGGGGCCCAATGTGTTTAAATAGAAACAAATCTATTTCCTATATGGAGTAGGATTTCATCTAGGTATGCCTTATCTTATTTCCCCGCATTACCTTTAGGATAATTAGGAAATTTGTGAGGTGAGAGAAATTGAATCAGAGTCATCCATCCTACAAATTAGGCATCATGATTTTGGGTGAAAATTAGGAACCTTATCCCCTTATAATTTGACCCAAGTCCAACTTCTATTTAAATAATAACCACTTTCAGCATATCTAGATCTTCCATAAAAGTCAAAAGATCATATTTATTTTTAAAAATCCCAGTTGAATACGAAATCAAATTTATTTTACAATTAAAATATTCCCTATCCAACAAAAAGATGGCATATTTTAAAAAAAATGGGGAGTGCCACCCTAAGGGATCACATGGGCCCCACACATGGGTGGCACACACATGTGGTGGTTAAATCCTTGGTCCCCACATGTGCCTTCTCAAGTTCTGAAAATTTCAAAAATGCCCTCTTTATGAATTTTACAGCAGAAATAAAATGCTAACATTTTGAAAAATGTGTAAAAATTATAATAACATTTCTAATACCAAAATAAAATAATTTAGAAGTGGACTAGCACGAAAAAGTCAAAATTAGCCACAATAAGGGCACTCCCCTTGACCCAAGAACTGTGATTTACTACTATTTTCTTATCCAACCCAACTACGACCCATGACCGAGAGTCTCAATGCAAGAGTTCATGATTGGTTTGTCAAAGTTCGATAATAAACAGTAAAACTATGATCTTGGAATGTAGATTTCAACCCCTCCTATAAGAGCAAGTCTAGCACTTGTGTATCTACCCTGCGAATGGTTATTGAGGTTTTGGCCATTGCTCTCAAAGGCCTACAATTGCACACAGGTGACCACACAGTTCTCCTGGCCTACAAACATCATCCCTGGACATATCTCCAACCTCAACTACGGATGACCCACTATAAACCCTTCTCAGTAGTGCCACATGCCCAGATATAAAGGTTTCGACATAACCAGTGTCATAAACCACCCACTGAAGTGCATATTCCACTATAAAATATCAATCAACACAAATTCTTCCACTGAAGTGCATATTCCACTTTAAAATATCATTTTTACAAGTGCTCACTAAGATTATATCTAAGACATTCAGCTTCATAATCCTGATGAAGAGGAATTACAGTTACCTCTCTACCTTAGAAAATGACCAAACATGTGGCAACATCCAAGATGTACATCATAGTCGCCCAGTGAAAAAAAGCATCATTGTAACGGCATTCACTTATTCTAAACAAGAGAACCGTGTAGAAGAACTTCAAAAGGCATAAGTATTGATAAATACACCATCAAACCCAGCTTATGATGCCCAGATACATTTCAGTGCCAGTTTCATACCATGTCAACACCAATATTAATACTAGATACTGCTAGGATACTTGTATTTATAAAATTACATAGTTGTAAAAATTGTGATATGAATAAAATATAATATTATACAAGATATAAAATATATTTAAGTGTTAGACATGAGACTCATAACCATATCCATATCCTAGATTTTGATGGATGACGAGTTGCACCTTTGCTCTCTATATATGCGTCCACATCCATACCAGAATGTTTACATCTTAGGACCCATCAATCAATAAGCAGTGTCCCTAGGTTCCAAAACCATCCTTTGTGTAATGGGTGTAAGCTATTGAGCCAACTTGTGAAGCAATCAATCATCAAAAAGAATTAGGAACACAAATTCACTGAGTTGAAACCATTGGAAGTGATCAAGAACAGTAAATACCTTAACAGTTATGATAACCTTAAGGTAACCTTTAAAAAAAACAGGAGTTATGGTAAACTTTAATAAAGCATATCAAGGTCATACTCTAGACATCTTTTTCTCAAAGAAAACCATTTAGCATCCTATTCATTTTCCATCATCATTAAGGCCATGCCTAAAATGGCGTCAACACAAAGTTAGAACTTTAGAGAGATGGTCTAGAATTTAAAGGTTTTAAAATTTGCCGGACTACGACAAAATATATGAAATACAAGTTTAGTAACACTAGGAGTAGAGACAAGGAAGTAGTTAAGATTGACGCCCAGAAATTACCAAAAAGATCACACTTTCGATATTTTGGGTCGATAATCCAGGAAAATTGAGAGATTGAGGAAGACATCGCACATAGAATTACAGATGGGCAGGCAAAGTACTGATGTGCAACCAAAATTTTATGTGATCGCCGCACACCAATGAAGCTGAAGGGCAAGTTCTATAAGACAGCTGTGAGACCAGCTTTGCTCTATGGGGTAGAATATTGGGCGGTCATAAAATAATATACCCATAAAATGAGTGTAGCAGAGACGATACATTCGAAAAAATTTAGGTGTGGCACCAATAGGTGATAAGATGAGAGAGAGTAAACTTAGGTGGGCTGGCCATATGTGGCGCAGACCCAATACAGCACCTGTTAGGAGGTCCGAGTTAGCTCAAGTAGACGGCTCAAAAAGGGCAAAGAGTAGGCCCAAAAGAACATGGTTGAAGTAGTGAGAAAAGATATGTGGACCTATGGTCTCACTAAGGGTATGGCCCTTAATAGAGCAGAATTACGGACTAAGATTCGTGTAGCCGACCCCAATTAGTTCGGAAAAGCCTTTGACAATGATGATGATGAATATGGCCATTCCCAATTGATGGAACCAAAGCCCAAGTAATCACCAAGATCTAATTATGCTTGAACCTCCTTGCTTCATCTTCTAGCATTCCTGCGCTTATCTAGTTCATCTGAATTTACAACCTTATCAAAAATGGAATCACTAAGGCCACGTTTACAACTTATAATTTTGCATAAGGTGCTCAATTTGATTGGTGTCATAGTATCACAGATGCCAATTGTCAAAAAGGACTCAAAATTATGCCACTAATATCAATAGCACAGTAATATAAGCATATATTCCTTTCAAGAAGAACTTGCTTGATGGAATTAATTCCCAAAGTTATCCATTTACATAAAAAACTGACTCGGCAAAATGTAACACACAAACATTATCTAAATTATAAAACTTTCCTACAGCTAGAAAGAATAAATTTTCTTAATTATTCTCTTCATAAGTGCTATCATATTGATGCAATTAGTAGCAGTACCTTTGTGCACTTTTAATGGCTTGGGCTTCATCTAACACCATATATTGCCATTTCACACGCCGAAAGTACTTCTCATCAGACACCAGCAGCTGGTAGCTTGTAATCAGGATGTGAAAACCAGCCTCCCTAGAAAAGTTTCCGAAAATAATATGAATCAGTATCAAGGGAAGAATACTAGGCACAAACAAACCAAAACAAATTTATTAAATCAAAGAGCCCAGATATTAAAAAAAATATCTCACCTACGATATAAACGCTTGGGATTAATGTTTTTCCTTAGTATTGTTCTATCTTGAAGTCCGCCCCAATAAGGAAGCGTTTTGAAATCAGGACAGAAACGGCTAAATTCATCCACCCAATTACTCAAGACAGAGGCAGGTGCAACAACCAAAAATGGTCCCCATATATTCTTCTCCTGTATAGAGTAAAGTTGATAAATACAACCAGAATGATACACAATAAGAGGTCATTTGGCATTGTTGGCATCTCTGGAAGAAAATAGAAGAAACAACGCATAAATTAGCAATTCTTTATGAGACCTCAGCTAGATGAGCCAGGAATGCAATTGCTTGAATCGTCTTCCCCAAACCCATCTCATCAGCTAGGATTCCATTCAAACCCTGCAAGCAACATTTCCAAAAACCACAATTCTCAATAGTAGAAGGGATTATTCAGCATAGTTGATGTATGTCATCTCCACAAGCTCCTGCTAACAATAGATAGCAGTGATGAACAAATCTTGAACTTTAGCAAATAATGGCAAACTCAAGTGCAAGCGTGGTTCATGTCCAACGTCCATTTTTTTTAGTATAGATGGTGGTGATGACATGTAAAACAACCAGCACTACACATAGTGCACTATGCAATTAAAAAATAAAAAAGAAACCCATATAGCCAGGAAACCTCAGTCCCAGTTTTACCTGCTCATAACAATTAACTAGCCATTGCAGACCCTTGAGCTGATATTCCTTCAGACTTCCGTTAAACAATTGTGGTGTCTGCACTGATGAGGTTATAGGCATTGTAGAACTGAAAGCACAAAAGTTTTTATTAGGCTTAACCATCTGAAAAAAACAACATTTAATGAAGAATATATAGATTCAATCAAATCTATGGACTCACGGATGAAGGAGGTCTATGTTACTAGATCCTGCGATTGAAGTATCATCGGATAACCCCTGGGGTTCAGCAGCTTCACGCAGTTTCAAGCATTCATTGTCAAATGCACTTGTCAATTTCTTCTGCTGAGATACTGCACGGTGAGCAGCCTTAAATGCTTCTCTTTTCATCGCAGCCTCCTCAGGGTCCTCTTCTTCTTCTGAGGGCTTATAATCTTCCAAGTTCAATAAAGAATTTTCTGGATCTTCATTATCTCCATCTACTAAGGCTGAAGGGTCTGATGCTTGGGAAGTTGATTTATTCTGCATGAAATGACTGTAAAGCTCTGTTTGAGTCAGCAGAAAGTTTAGCCTCTGTTGTTGCCTCTTTGCTTCACGAAGCTCCTCCTCTCGTTTCAGGGCTTCTGCTGCATCTCTTTCTTCTTTCTTTCTAAGTTCAGCCTGTAATCATGGAGCAAAACTCAATATATTTATGTAGCTTTTAATATTCTGTTTGCATAATCAAATGACTCACACTCTGATGCAAAATCAAGTTGAAACACCCAGATAATTTATAGCACAAACATAGGTAACTTTCTGAAGTAGAAATTCAGAAGTTAGCTTGCAAAGACTAACCAAACATTTCTTGCTGCATGGAAACACTGTGAAACAGCAGGGACATTTGCATTCTTGAAGCAGAAAAGCTTAACATAAAGAACATAACACACTCTAGCAAGACACTTGCATTGATATAGCCTACTTTCACCAAAAATCATGGACTTCTAATAGAATATAGAAAAACAGATCCTACCCAGGAACCTCACCAAAAAAGGAGGCCCAAGAACTTGAAGAACCATTGTCTTGCCTCAGCACTCATTACATCCCCCAACAAGGCCAAGATAGAATGGTATGGGAACCAGCTAAATCTGGCATATTCTCTGGGGTTCTCTCTGCAGCCACTGCACACAGAGTCAACCAACCTTGGTGGTGGCCAGCACAGCCTGGTTTGCTCCTGTTCCCCGTAAAAACCAGGCTCTTAGCTGACTGATAATTCACAAGAAGACCCTGACTGTGGAGTGACTTCAGCTATAGAGGTTAGCACTAGTCAAATGTTGTACTATATGAAAAACGAGTGACCATCTATTCCTACACTACTGATTGGCTAGCCAGCTGTGGTCATTCCTATTAAAAATGTTTGGAACTGATTGGGCGACCCCAGGTTGCAGGGTTCAAGCCGACAGCTCTTCCACAGCAAACGTTTCACCTCCCTCCCAGCGATGGCCCTCCTCCTGTGGAAAGCATCTGTAGTGCCCCTAGTTTGGACAATTTAGATCGAGTGTAACAGGAGAATTATTAATGTCAGAAAGCCCATATTATAGCCTTAAAAAATAGGCTAATCACAACAGTCAATGCTGGGCCGGGCTCTGGAAGGAGTTTGTTATTTTGTTTCTTTCTCTTCCTCCAGTTTTTGTTGAACTGGCATGCCATATTGAGATCCAATCCCAGGAATCGCTAGAGCCCCGCAAGGGACCCCCCCAACACCAGGCACCATGAAATTCAATTTTGATTCATGTTCATCCATCAATCAGGGAAGGGCCAGAATAGGAATTGTGTATGGCAGAGGGAAGCATCCACACTCTTTATCTTTTTTCAGGGCATTACGGCAACAGAACTGCAACTGTTGCCGAGGCGCAGGCCTTGTCTGCATGGCCCAAGTTGTTAAATGAATCATGGGGCTTCTCCCTGCAGGTTGAGGGAGACTCTGTGATTGTTATTAATCAGCACACAAAAGCCCTCTCCTGCCCTTGGTCAAAGGAGCATGAAATCAAAGAACTCAGTCAACCCATGAACATCTCCTACTGCCATGCGTGGAGACAGGCAAATGCCACTGCAGATGGCTTTGCAAAACAGGGAGCCAACCACATTAGTCTGTCCATATCACAAACTACGCCCTCATAAAAGTAAACCAAAGCCCGGGATCTCTGGAAAACAACCCTTTGTGACTATAGAGCACACTCCAGTTGTCCAATTGATTCTGTAAATAGATCCTGTGCTGTTACTCTATCTTTTTTTTTTACCCAAACAGATGTACCGAGTGTTAATTTTGTTAGTGACAACTGCCACTTGTTTGTGCCATGAAAGTTTGCACTATATCTATAATAAAGCTGACTTCTATCAATATAAAAAAAATAAAAAATTCCTACCACGAATCTATATCAGTACATGCAAATATCTGAAAATATATCAGTTATCAATAATAAGAGGGAGTGAACAGTCCAACAAAATAATCAATATGACTAAATTCTAGAGATTTCCACAAGCAAAAAACCCCACAAGCTAAAAAACTAGTCAATTACATCTCATAAATTTGAACAAGAAATAAATGTGGTGCTTCACAGATAAGTCCAGATGCAAAAACTTACAAAGCATAACTAAAGTGGGGAAACATTGCAGAGTTACAAATTTCCAAGGTCTCCTGCTTAGAAAGGTAAGACACATTGTTTCTATAAAGTTCTACTCTATGTCCAACAAACATTCCATTTTCTTTTTTTAAAATCAATGTCCAAAAAATATTCCTTCAGAATAAAATAGACTGAATTTATTCATTTATTTTTTTATTAAGCAATAAGTGTGCACCGAACGAGTCCCTTTTATAGCATGACTCATATTCAAAAATATCACCATGAATATAGGCAAAGTGACTATATCTGGGTTCATGTAAGAAGGAACTGAACCTGCTCTTTGTCTACTCTTTTCCAGAACACCAACATATCTCTAGCCATTTTCCTGGTGCGCACAGCTGCTCCCTTCATCATTTTCAGTGATCTGGTAATCTTTGCCTTTACCTGACATGTATAATCTAAAGAAAATCAAACACCAATCAAGCTAAATATAAGAAAGAATAAACTAAACCCATTCAAAACATTCTTGCACAAGTTTTCCTCTGTGCAAGCATAAATATCGACGGACATGAACATGGGTAGAAAAAACTAGGATAGCAAGCATTTTTGCTAGCTGCTTGATGTCAAAGAAGAGTAAACATATCGAAAATGGTGTGTTCATCAGAATCATTGATTAGTTACCCACACGTGCCCCACACAACTTATATATTAGCATATGGTATCAGAACCTTTACATTACTAAAAGTTTCTCTCCATAGAAACCATCTTAACAAACTTCTACGTTCATAACATATACAAAGAAGAAAGCAAAAATAATATTAGACCATATAAAGAGCTCACATTTATGAATTATATGGAATATTTACTAAAAGTAGTCATACTCATAACATAATGGATGCTGCATGAAAAAAATATAAGGCAAGATCATATATATTACATCAATATTTTCAAGGTCAAGCTAAGCCTGCTTGACGCATGTGATGATTTTCAAGCAGGAGCAGCAGCATCTCAACTTGTAAGCCTACAAAATGCTACTCTGGAATAAGACGATGAAATCAAATTTGAATCCCTCGACTGATTCTCAACTTTTTGTTGGCATTTTCCTTGTTTCAAAGTTTTCTAGATTGTGTTCACGAACTTGAAAATTTGTATCATGTTTCAGTTACGAGGGTGAAAGATATGGCTCACTCATGCAATCTTCATATATGTAATTATGTGAGTTTATTAATTCACAGCAAAGATCCATAACATGTAAGTGTGCATCATGCATCATGTATTTAGATGCATTATGGGTTTTGTAACATAATGCCCTAGAATCTAAAAATTCCAAAATATATTGAAAAATTACTAATTTATAACAATATCATTCAATATTAAATTACTAGGGTTCTTTACAAGTGGCACCACCCACATATACAACATGTTTGCCTGCTATAACAGCCGTCCGATCTAAATGGTAATGTCACACCTAACACTATTTTATTTTTAAGTTTTGTTTACATATATCATCTTGAAATGAAATTTGGTGTATGCCCACTCCTAATAGAAGCATACCAAACAAAAAATTATATATATGTACATGTGTGTGTGTGTGTGCATGTGTGTGTGTGTCTCTATATATATGGGGAGTGATTTCATGCAACAGTGGTAATATAATGAAACAATCTTCAGAAACCATGTCAGGGCCATTTGTTTGACCCAAACTATAAAAGACACTCTTTTCATTCTAATAAATAATCACAAAAAAAGAAAGTTTGAAAACACAACCTAGAAATAGTTTTTTAGCCCAATTAACATAGGCCGTCCATTTTGGTGAGATACTTAGATCTAGCCTTAGAAGGATCTTTTTTCTTTCCAAAATTTTTAAAAAACTTTATTATCATTAGATTAACAATGTTAAAAAAGAAAAAATTGATTATGAATTCATAAAGGCATAGATCTTGAAATTCACCAAATGGACGGTCTAGATTCATCGTTGGACGGGACTCATTTTGACCATATATAGGGTGAAAATTTTATTTTATATTTTTGAGATTGATTATTGAGATGAAGAGAGTGGGTGTGCAAAATACCACAAACATGGTTTTCTAAAAGTGTGGTTTCATTATATTATAATGGCATGGTGACATGATATCATTTCCCTATATACATAGATATAAATATATGCGCAGAGGCTAACTTGTAACATTATGACTAAAGCGAACATTAAATATGTAAATGACATAGCAATGTTTATTTCATCGTTATAGTGTTATATACAATCAGCATAGAACATTAATGTATCTTTTGTGCAATAGGAATGCAATAATTTACATAATAATACATTAATCAGTACAAAAAGTAGGTTTATTTAATTATCTTTCCATTTCTCATATTTTCAAAGATGAATAAAAAAAATAAAAAGAGTTGCTAAGTCGTGAGTTTGTAAAATTTGGCATTGGGCCAAGCCACTAGGCCACTTCGACTTTTAAAAAGTTAACAGTTACATTGACTATCCATTATTATTTTTGAAGAAGTTAACAGTTACATTGACTATCCATTATTAATATGAAATACTTTACAAATAAGCACTAACCTCCCTTTGACAGGAATCTGAATACTTCTTAGCATCAAGAAGTTGTTTCCTATGTAAAGCAACAAATGTTCGATAATGTTTGGGAAAATCTCTCCGAACAATAGTTGTCCAAGCTCGACCAACCTTCTCCATGTCTTCTTTTTCAATCTGGGCCGGATCTTTCTTAGCCACTTGCTTCTTAGGCAATGCTCGCTCAATGATCTACCAATTGAGGTCCAATGAAAGAAAAAAGGATCATGCTCTTTGGAAATAAACCAGAAACGAAGAAGAAATAATGAAACAGAGTTTCAATTTCCCAAGAACAAAACAAGAAAAATTTAAATTATGCCATAAAAATCATACCAACCTCATAAGCGTCTCCTTTCTCCAAAACTTTGACATAGTAAACCTGCAAATTCCCTGATTCAGACAAGATCATCCGCTTAATGTTACCTGCCGCCCCTTCAGGGATCGAAGATGAGTCTATATCAAAAACTTGAAGACTAAACTTTTGGACTGAGTTAGAAGCCGACAATGCCTTCAACTTCGCCTGAAGCGACTCATGAGTAAGAGGAGCATCACCCATCGCTTGACGACTTCGAGGCCCAAACTTCTTATCCGACCCCACCATCGTGGCCAGAGCTCCCAAATCCACCTTACCCTTTACAAAACACTCTTCTATCCCAGTATCTGAGAAATTGGGTAAGTTCAGAGTCATCACAAGCCTATCATAAGAGGGAGGAATCCTATATGTAATACCCTCTCCAATGTCCAGATACGCATACTCTAGGGTGCTAGAAAGCTTATCGTAGTTGAATTCTCGGCCTACATCCGACTCAAAATAGTAACCTCCTTGCTTCAAGGGGCTCATGTACTCGGGTGGGGTTTCCATTCCATGAATCAATCTATCTTCCTTTGTAGAATTCATAGCCAGGGATTCACTACCCGAATTCACTCGAGACTTGGCGTTATGGGCATTTCTTTTGGGGGCAAACACCGGAGTTCTAACTGTGGTAGAATTATCTTTATGCTTGGACCTCCTGTATTTCATTACATGCTCACCTAGCATTGATCTATAGTGATCTTCAGAGATGTGGGTGCCATAATTATCATTATCATCTTCATTATTGCTATCTGTTTCTCTCCTAGCTGAAGAAAAGGAGCCAATTTCACCTCCTTCTCCATGAAGCCTCTTCTTTCTCTTGGTGGATCTCTCCCCCAAATTCCCATTCCCATGATCGACTGCCATCCCAACTTGACCTGATCGATTCAAGATATTAATCACAGTTTGGGGATTTGAGCTTTCAGGGCTATCCTTCATAACCCCAATTCAAATAGCAGACATGTTCTACAATTCAACAACAACGGAATTTGAAAGAGGAAAACAAATAAAGGAGCATATCCAACTAGACTAAATTGTACATGCTCAAAGAATATTTTTAGCAATTTCTCTTCAAAATTAGAGGCTAAAGTATAAGAAGAAGAGGCGATAACAGAGGGGAGAAGAGAGAGAGAGAAAGCGAATATTGTGCACCTAGGCTGCCTCCGCTTTCATCCTGACTACTGCTTGCATAATCTTCGAGATCCTCGTCTTGTTGTGGAAGTTGAAAGTTCATCAAAGACTAGATAGAGAATACAATCACCAAAACACGACCATAATCATCAACATAAGATTTCAGAGAGAAAAAGTCTCGCCCCAAAATCAAGGAATAGCAACACAATCACCCAAGCCAAAATTAAGAAACTACGCTATCAAATACTAGAGAGAAAACAAAAAGGGAATAATAAAAACTAGAGAACACTAGAAAATAACAGAATCAACGATGCCCTAATTGCAGAAAGAACAAGTCTTGCCAAAAACCGAAAACAAGGGACTCCAAAAACAACGAGCAATGCACTAGAAAAACACCATTGAAACAAACAACAAACGAAGAAAAGCAGCAATCAAAAACATACATCGAGGTTGAAGAGATTAGAGTAAGAAAACGAGTTGTTATTTGGAAAGTGGTAGCCATTGTTGCTGGGGCGCTTCTGCTCCATTCGAAACCCTAAGTTCAGGTCATGTGGGGCACAAATATCGGCAGAGAGAGAAAGGAAATAGAGAGAAGAGAATTTTAGAGAGAGGAGAAATATGACTCGTGTAAATCTAAAAGACTAAAAACCTAATCTTGATCGCGGACATTGGTGGTTTTGGAGAGAGAGAGAGAAGAGGGAAGAGAGGAGAGAGAAAGGGGAAGGGAAAAGAGAGGAGAAGAGAGGAAGAGAGCAAGGGCTGTGGCGAACGTCCGTCTATGAAATCAACGGCCATGATGGACGGGATGCCTGCGTTCTGGGACTGTGATGATTGCACGTGCCAACAGGACAGAACGCACGTGTGGTATTTGGCGTTGCAGATTTGTGTTGGATCATGAACGCCGTGGGATTTTGGTCATTCATGGTATGTGAGGGTAAAAAAGGAAAAAAAAGAGGGGATCGAAGGGCCTGAAAATGTTGCCTTAATCCAAGTCAGTCATGGTTATTAAGGACTGTTCCAATTTTAGTGGAAATTTATGGAGAAGCAGACGTTTACTCTTCAACAACCCCTTATGCCCTCCCTATTTTACCTTCAAATCCGATAGTTCTTACAACGGTTCCCAAAATCGAAGTTAACCGGATGTAGGCCCGGAAGCGGTTTAATCAGTTTAACCCGTAAATTCAGCCGATTCAACCACTTTAACTAAGCAAGTCCAAGGCGCTCAAAAAAGTGTTGAAAAAAATAATATAGATGCAAAAAAAACTACTAAAATATGAAAAATCTATAAAGAATGATTAAAACAAAACATATTCAAATGAAGTTCAAAATTAATGGAAAAAAATGGATTTTAATGAATCGATCTGTGCTTAGGGGTTTTAAAATTTTCTGAAGAAGATGGAAAAATATAAAACTGAGCATTAATAACCGAAACAATTTTTAATCTTAATGTAAAGAATATTAAAAATGTATTACAAATCAAATTCTTTATTTTTGAGAATTTATATACATTTTAAAAGAAAAAAATTAAGTAACCAAAACCGCCCAAAATCGAAACCAGCCAGTGGCCGATTCCGATCTAGCCGGACAGTTATCGGTTAGCAGTTAGATCGCCCTGGGGTTTCGGGGTAGAGAAAGAACTTGAGGATTTTAATGGTGGATGAAGTGAATCGAACTGGATAGGCCTTGTTTTCCACATTAACGAGGGTTTTGAGCCCTGTAGTGGTACCAGATATTGGTTATTTTCTGTGTAGAGGGCATTACTTGGGATTTTGATGGTGGACGATATAAATCGAATTACCTTGTTTTCAGCCATTTACAAGGGTTTTGAGCTCTATTGCCTTGCATTTCTAAATCAACGGATGAACTCTGCTCGTGCCCCCTCCCTCTCTCTCTCTCTCCACTCTTCTCCATGTATTTATTTCTCTAGTTTTATGTCTATCCCCATATCCTTTGGATCTGGGTAGGGTTCGGGTCGGGTCCACTAGAACCTATATTTTAGGTCTATAGAGATGGACCCAGACCCTACCATCCAGGTCCAAATATTAGACACATTCCCGGCCCCGTGTCGGATATTCCTGACGGGTCCCGGGTCGAGTCCGGATCCATTTTCACCCTTATCCCTATAAAAACATCCCATCCTAGCATATGAAAGGCCTACAACCATACAAAAATCCATGGAGGATGGATGAAAGCACATAAATAGACACTTGAATATGTATTGAGTATAGAGATAACTTTATATATGACTACTTGTACGACCCTTTGTATCATGTTGTTTCGCTTTCCATGCTTGCATATATGACAATGACACCACAAATTCGAGTTGAACATCATTCGTAATATCTTTGGTAGTGACACTCATCTAGTTAGCCAAACGGGCGATAATTTTTTTGGCAAGCCACTTGCTTCGTGTTAATGGTTGATGAGCTATTCCCATTAGTCCTGTATATGTGTGGTCATTTACCAACTCTCTACTTTAAAATACTTTATGTAAGCCGAGAGCAATGTGCTTGCCAAGTGCACCCCTCTCCAGCACAGATTGCAACTACATGCTCTTGATCATTTTTCATGTACTTCATTCATGACAAAATTTCGATATATGGAATAATCTACCAAGTGGTCCTGGAGTAGTTTGACATTCTTGAAATATTGTCCGATATACAGATGAACTTGCGAGCGAACTAAACCACATGGACTTTCGTATAGATATTGGTCATCAAGATCACATGCAATCTCTACGTCCTCGCATGCATGTGCTTCATTCTGGACGGCGGGGACGGCGTTGGTCCAATGGGGCGGCGGGGAAGTGATGTTCAAAGGAATCAATAATTATTAAATACCAAGAATAAAATGTAAATAAAATATACAATTCAAAATTATTACATGATCCTAGTTGATGGACCAGATGACGAACCGACGGTAGCCACACTTGATTGATATTCCATGTATAGCATATCCATGTACATTACAGCCATCAATTCATACACGTCACATCACGATCATCATTTAGTTCTACTAAATCATCTTTCTTTTTTATACGTAATTGTCATATTGCTAAGGTCACAACGCATGATAATTCCCATCTATGTCTTTAGTTACTCTATTGAGTTAATTGAGGGAATAGTAAAATCAATAAGAAATAAAGCTTACCACAAGCATAAGTCAAAGAAACCTAGGGTTTCTTCTCCAAACCCGAAACTAGGATTCCAAAAGCCTAAGTTTTTTAAAAAATAATGTGGAATTGACCCTCTTAGGGCCCCACACATCTCTTATATATTATAATTCAATATTCAAATAAACATTACATGTCTATTCAATAATTAAAATGACCTATATGTCCTAACTTAAACTTAAATTTTGTAATGACAGTTTTACCCATATAAACAATACCCGTAAACTATACTCACGAATAGTATTCATGAAATAAATAAAAAACTATAAAACATTAAAATTCTTAAAAAAAACTAAAAATCTTAAAACTAAAATCAAAATATACATCCTTTAAAATTGAATAAAATTAAAATAAATATAATTTTTCGTTCCATCAATTATGGATGTCAAATTCCTGCCCTTATAGTAAATCCATCTATCGTTTTAACTTCACGCGAACGAACCACTGTATCAACATAGTTGCCTCACTCCAGCAGTGAACATTGTTAGTCAACAAGGGCTTTGTAGAGGAGCCCTAAGGAGACATCCGAAAACTAAAATTCAAAGTATAATTCAAGATAAAAAGAGGAATATTATGCATTAAAATCAAATAAACACTTACATGATTTCTTAAAATGTGAAATGGCTTACATCAAATTTCTCAAATGGAGAAAATGAATGAACATAACCCAATTTCTCAAATATTGAAAATGGGTAAAATATAATCATTCAAAATAAGAGAGAAAGATCAGCAATGCACAACCAAAATCACCCACTATAATCAAGTAATCCACATTAATTATTTAAAATTCGAATAAAGTCCAACCCTAAACCCAATGCCATGAAAACCCTAAATTGAAATTAGTCGCATCAATGTTCATGACCAATCAAAGTAAAACCTATATAAAATCACACAACCACATTGATAAAAAGAAATAAATGGGGGGTTGGGGGGGGGGGGGGGGGCGCGCAAAAAGGTACCTTATAGCTCCGACCCCTACAATAGAAATCAAATTAATTGAAAATTTAAAATGGATAATTATTTTTATAAATAGCAAATTAAATATATAATAAGCTCTAGAAAAGGAATACAAAAAGGAAAAATACTGCATAACCCTACAAATTCCTCTACAGTCAAGTAATCAACGAAAAGATTGAATTAAATAGAAATAAAAAAGACCTACCTGATACAAAGAGGTTGCAAAGCTCATTGTAAAAGGAGTTCCAGGGTAGGACAGCAAGAGCATGACTTTCTTTGTGATAAAAAGTGAAATAAAATGGGCCTTTTATGCCCCCTATCACTTTCATGTTCAACGGAAAAACAAACAAAAAAAAAGTCATGCAAAAACCACTTTAATATTTCTATTTTCATACCATAATAACTAGGATATCAGGTCGATCCGATATTAGGAACATCGAACATATATGTCGTCTATACATTGAACACAACCTGACGCCCCTTACATGGGGCAGTATGATTTTGAACATTGGACTGCCCCAGATAAACCCTCCCCTACATTCCTAAGAGCCATACACTTACACACAAAAAAATAGACCAGTTTGATATTAAATTTATCAGACCAAGGGGAAATTTTGATTAAAAAAATGGCCAGATCTCTACATAAAGTTCTCATAAAAATGTACCAGTCCATAAATCATAAATTTAAAAATGGTTGGACTTAACTTTTCCATTTGCAGAATCATAATGCATGAAGCAATAGGTAGAAAAGACTCTTTCTATAAACTTGCATGTGATATTTGTATGCAAACTTCCAAGTGACATCCTCAATTGAAAGTATGCGTGTAGCATGTTCTGACTGAAGTATACTATCTATTAATTCTCTCGGGAGGAAGAGTTACGTAAGGGAATTTTTATTTTAAATTTTGGGATCCACCTGAGAATTACTATCTAGATTATTCTCGGGAAAAAATTGTCAATTGAAACCCCTTAAAAATTATTAAAAGGATCGAATAATTCCAATTAACAGTTGAGGGATTGCTTTGTATTTCCATTTTACTTAGGCAACTCCTCAAAAAGATTTCTAAAAATTCCCAAATTGCCTTTGCTCATGTCTGAACAATCAAGAAATTGTATGACGTACTTCAATTGTCAGAAGAATGAAGTTCCAGCCCATAATCAAGTTTTAAGTTTAGTTAGTGTGGTGCTACGAGGTGCGAGGAGTTCACCTAACCCAAAAACATGAAGTGCGGTCCTCCACTCCACCCCATGAAGAGCCGTATTTCACTCATACATATTACTGTCCCAAAACCTAACCAGTCTCATGAAGAATGGGAGAGAGAGATCAAAGACAAGAGAGTGTGGTCATGCCCCCTTTGGGCTTTCATGAGAGAGAGAAACTTTCTTAGGAGAGAGATAGAAAGATAAAGTGTAGAGATTTTGGGTAGAGACAATCCATTTTTTATTGGTTTTAAACAATATTAGGGTTTCTTAAGGTTTTCTTTGGCTTGCCTCTTTTTATGAAATAGAATATAAACGATTGATCTTGGGTGACTTGTGGGGTGAGAGATTTGAGCTATCCATTCCATGGGTCATCAACATTATGGAAGGTGCTATAACATTTATCCCCCTCTTTCCTTTGACTATTATCCTATCAATATAAATCAAATAAAATAATACCAACCATTATGTTGTTTTTTATCCAAAAATATGCACAAACCTTTTAAAATATTCACTCAAATCTTCTTTAACTACTTATCCCATGAAAGACAGGAAAC